GCAGGCATGCCGGCTCCTGGCAAGAGGGGAACGAGCCAGCTGCGTGCCTGCCGCCCTTGGCTCCTTCCAGGGTGGTGTGCCGGTGCGCTTCTCCAGCGGAAAAGGAAAAGCAGGCAAACGGTCCCATCCCTTTACACAAGGTTATTTGTAACCACGAAACTTTCCTTTACAGATATACAAGCTATATATGGAAGTCGTGTTCAATTTGCTCTTCAAAACTTATCTCCACGCTGTTTAAATGCTGTGAGGCAATTACTTTGGCCAAGGGAAGGTTTTTCCTGCTCTTCAAGCACGTTTATCACCTTGATACCTTTTATGTAGTCTAATGATTCTATGCTAATCTTCAAACCCAGGAGCTATATCTTGTGGCTAGAAAGCGTGCTGGGGAATTACCAGACTGCTGGGCCATATGTGTGGTTTTATAAACGGACAGAAAGCTTTCTGAGTTTCTGTTGGTGACCTTGAAATTGTGATACTGACCTCTGCATGTTCTTGGTCTAGTACTGAAGATGGGAGATATTGAGAAGGGCAAGAAGATCTTTGTCCAGAAATGTTCCCAGTGCCATACGGTCGAAAAGGGAGGCAAGCACAAGACCGGACCCAACCTGAATGGCCTATTTGGACGCAAGACTGGACAAGCTGAGGGCTTCTCTTACACAGATGCTAATAAGAATAAAGGTAAACTTAAAGCTGTTCTTAAGAGCTACTAGGGACAAAAATACTCAGTTCTAGAGTCCTAGAAGTACTGAAATCTGCCAAAAAGTAAAATAATATGGAGAACAAGAATATAAATGTGTTTGTTATTTTGAAGTCACTAGCCATCTTTTCTTTTTCTTGTCTCTAGGTATCACCTGGGGTGAGGATACTCTGATGGAGTATTTGGAAAATCCAAAGAAGTATATCCCAGGAACAAAGATGATTTTTGCGGGTATTAAGAAGAAGTCTGAGAGAGCAGACTTAATAGCATACCTCAAAGATGCCACTTCAAAGTAAAAGTTATCTGCTGCCTTATTTATTTCACAAAGGAGATGGCAATGGAAATGTCTGTGATGAGATTGGTTTTTAAACTTTCTATTTTTACATGTACTGTGTCTAACCTTAAAATCTGTCTCACCCATCAGATAATGTTGCTCATGGTGGGTTACTGGAGTACACACTTGTTTGGCAGCCATTAACTTGATGGAAACTATGTAATTGGGTTGATTTAAATAACTATAATGTTCAGTCATTCTTGATCATAGAATTAAAAAACAAACAAACAAAAACTTCCTGCCTCTTCATTGCTTAAAAAAATACCTGTAAGATAATCAAATTAGTAATTGTCAACAGCGTAATAGCTTTGACAGACCAGCTTTTCCAGATCAAAAAGCAGGGTGGTTTTTGGCATCTTCCACCATACATCTGTTATATGACTTTAGAGATTTAAAAAAAAAAAAAAATCCAAAACAAAGGCTAAAAAAAATATAATATTTTTCTAAATTTAATCAGTGCTAGGTGGTGTGGTATGTATTAATCTGTCTAAAGCTTGCGATAAGAACACGTTTCATTTGACTTCAGTACTGTTTGTGAAATGGCAGTCATGCCCAGACATTGTTCTTTTATCTAGGGAAGCATGTTACCCAATTTATCCAGACTTCACAGCTGCATGCACCAGTAGCATATAACTCCCCTTCAGAAACATCTTTAGCTTTTTGAATGGTGAAACATTCTGTTCAGCAAATCTTCCAAAACCAGCCATTCTTGGTGTAATGAATAGAACAGAAAAACATCCTGTTCTGGCAATACAAGTGCTAAAGACAAAGCTGAGAGTTATTAAATCTTCTTAATTCAGCAGAAACATTCACCTAAAACCTACTGTTACAGGCAATTTCAGATGAAGGGGTATGGGAATGAATGTGCTGGTAGACTAAAAGGAAACGGTTTTCCTCTGTGCCTGGCTGTAGGTGATGTCATTACTTCTGAAGGGTCTGTTTCGCACAGTGTAAAGCTCTTTTTTTTTTTAATGTTTTAACTGCATTTTTTCATACTAAGTGAATTGTTCAGATGAATGTATTTACTGTGTACCAACAGTAAGGCATAACTCGGAGCAATCGATACTGTAAATTAAAAAAATTAAAAGTCTTGTTTGCTGTATGTGTCTGAAATTAAGTGAAAACCAGTGGGAATGTAGAGAAAAGTTGTGTGTCCAGCTTTATGTCATTAGGAAACAAGACAAGCGAAAGCCCAGTATCAAAAAAAAAATGCTGAGGGAGTTGGTCTGAGAAGTACTTGTAAGTGTGGTGAAGTCAGGAAGTGTTTTGGGCTAGAACTAGCAGAGCTGTCTTCCATCGGTGTTCTCTTTAACAGCACTTTTGCTGTGTTTTCCAAGTGGGACAGGGGAGGAAACTAAAGCAGCTTGAAAGCTGCAGCTGTGCTGTAGGATTGGCTGGGTTTGAGTTAGGTCAAGTAGAATAGTGTGCTTGATGGAGTTGCAAAGGGCTGTTACTCAGAAATCACTAACAAGTTGTCTCAATGGTTGCTACCCTGTGCTGTGATTTTTTTTTTTTTTAAAAATTTTTTTTTTCCCAAGCTAAACATACAAGTGGCATTTCTTGAAAGGTGGAAGGTGGAGTTAATACCAACCAACAGCAGCTCCTTCACTAAAAGCTTGTGAAGAGGCACCTTCAAATCATAGTAGTTTATTACCGTTCCAATTTTCAGCAGTGATACTCATCGTAGCACCTTCATGTCTATGCGGGACTTGGCTTTCACTGTGCCAAGAGTAGCTGTAGATGGAGAATGTAACCTCACGTGGCTCCGCAGTCTTCTCCAGTGATTACGGTGGATTGCATGGAGAGAGTTGTGACGCTTTGTTCTGTCAGCACTTCCATGAGATGAAAAAAGGACTTTGTGATCTCCAGGCTGCTCCCCTTGCCTTGAAGCTGGACTAGAGGAGAAACGGACTGTAGAGAAGAAGATCTTGCAGTAAGGTGGCGTTAATTGTGCACCGGTAATGTATTACAAAATGTTATCCGTCGTGAAGAAGAGCTCCTTCAGGAGAAAGCAGAGTGCTCCTTCGTCCAAAGTATGAACAAGCCAAGCTAAACTGTGTCCCCCACTGCCTGTGCGCCTCATAGACCTTGGTACAAAGGCAAGTGCAGCTTATTTGGACCACTGAAGGTGGAGAAAATGGAACTTTTTAATTCTAGACTGGGAATACATCCTTGTTTGTGTTTTAGGGAAAAGACCCTTCTGGCCTTTCAAATTTCATCTTTATGTATACAGCCCCAGACAGCAACAGCTTGTAAGGTTTGTTGTAGCAGATAGCTGGCGGGCCTTGAGCACTGGACAACACTACAGTATTTCGACTAGTGGATCGGCAGAAAGTATTGATGTGGAAGAAGGTTAGATTATCACGTGTTGAGGTAAGTGGTGATGCAAGTGCCTGGGGGGGGGTTTGGGGGGGTGGGAGGGAGGTGTCCAAGCTGGTTGTGAATCAAGCTCTTTATTCTTTGATTTCTAGATTTATAGAGAAGGACGAGTGGGGTTTACGTTTGTTTTATAAAGTGGCAAGTTTAGTGTTTTTCTTTCTGATAGTGGTAACAGTCTAGACATTTGGTATTTCAGTATTGCCGTTACAATTCCAGATCAGGGAATTGAGGCACCGTTGCCAAACATTGCACCATCCCATGAAAATGGTGCTTGGCTACAAGCTTACAGATTCGATGGGGCGTGCCTTGAAAACTGATCTTGCAAGTCTCGTGTAGTTAGGCAAATGCATGAAGATTGTCAGTGTCAGCAATGACGGGAAAGAAGGTAAAATTCAAAAGTACACTTTTTCACAGTATGACTTTTCAAAGCTGAAATGAAACAGGTAGGATATTTTTAAAATCATAGAATTTATTATTTATGAATCCCAATGAAATTCAGTGATACAGAAGCCCTTTTTTGTTTAGTCTTAACAGTTCAACTGTAATCGCTCCACAAGCAGCTAAATTTGGAGAAGTTCCATTCATAGCCATCCATGCAATTGTAGATCATCGCTTCAGTTAAAAATCTATTCATTATAGTAGATCTAGTCTTGCAGGGGATTATGTAATACTTTCCTCTTTTTTGGTATAAAATACAGTATCAGTGATCCAAAACAAATGGGATACTTCATACTTCTCTTAGAGGGGAGAACAGAAATTAAATAGCTAAGAGTTAAGAACTACCCAATATTCTAGTCCTGTGTATGTCAAAGGCCATTAAAGCGCACACGTTTACCTCTTTAGTAAGCCTTGTCGTTTGCCTTTGTCTAAAACACGTCCTAAAAACTCCTCAACAGGGCCAAAGCCAAGAGAAGTGTCTGTTGTTACTGCACATACGGTGAGATGAACAGTTTCAGACTGACATCCTGAAAACCAGGTTATTTTAGGAGGTGAGCAGCCCCGAGCTAGCAGTAGGAAATGTTAACCCTGGGGAAGGATGTGAAATCCTGCCCCTCTCCAGCGCTGTGGTGGCTGAGTCAGGACTCCAGGTAGTTACCACCATCTGCTCATGATTCAGAGCCCACATGTAAGTACTTGCACGTTTTTTTCCAGGATCGTTCTTTTGTTCTGAAATACAGAAAACACGTTGGTCACCTTTGGAATAATTAGTTTCTAGTTAGAGGTCGTACAGGAGGTAAGAGACATAGATGACATGTTTGCTTCTGTGACAGGATACAGATTCACATCCCTGAATTTCCAGGCGGCTGCTTTAACTGCCAAGCTGAAGGTGTGTGCTGGGAAGAGGGTGCTGTATACCTCTGTTGGAGCTGTCGTTATGCAAAACGAGAGCCAGAAAGAAAAGGAGCAAAGGAGGAGCTAACTATAGCATAGTGTTCAAAACACATACCTTGGAGCAGGGGAGAAGGTGTGTTCTTTCCAGGTTTATGCATTTAATTTTTAAAGTGCCCTGGATAATAATAAACCTGGCAGTGGAGATCCCAAGTCATTACTCTGCAGGTTTTACATCTCTTTAATGCTGTTTACTGCAGCTTGCTCAGGCAACGTGAGCCTCCACCTTGTTCCTTTCAAATCACCCACTCTCCAGATGTGTCTTCCCCTTCCTCGTTCTCCATGTGTTAAAACTGTGCTGTCCCTGTCTCACACACTGCCCATCTTTTGGTTCATGAGCAGAAACATTGACAGAAACATCGAGTAGTGTTCTCATCCTTACAATAATCTGCAGAAATTCTCTGCTGATGTCCCCATTCAGTCGTGACTGTCTGATGACAATTTGTTTTTAAGATGTCTGATGGTCCTGAATCTATGTGAGATTGCCTTTCACTGATCTTTTTAATTCTAAAAATTTATAAAGCTAACTAAAGCGGCTTTTACCTGCAATGTATCTCGGGATTTTTTTACCGTGAGCTGCAGCATGATGATGTGGGCATTCACTGATACATAGTGCTTCCAGACAAGCAGGAAAAATGCACCACAAACACTGGATTTTAAGAATATCGTTGGTGTCACCTACATGTAACCTCAAGAACCTGGTGTTCTCACCCAGGTTTCATTGTAGGAATGTGTCTGGCCGTAACCAGCCTTTCCCTGAAAGCATTTGTAGCATTTCTCCTTCTACTGCTGATTCATCATTCAGAGAACAGAGAGGAATGGAAATCAGGTTTCTACATACCTTACTGTGTTTCTTATGGGACCTTGTCATTTTTTTCCAATTATTCTGTCTGTTTACCTGCTGTCCCTGTTAGACCTGGAGTTCTTCCCAGTGCTATTTTTAAAGGAAAGGTTCCAACTCCGGAGATTTTTGCTATAGTGACTGATTTTAATTCTCATTCTCATGTACAAATTGTCATTGATTAGCTTACCCATCTGGTCTTTCTCTTCTTCATTTTACCTGGTACTGTTAACAATTTATACTTCTTTTGTATTGGTTGAACTGCAGGCAGCTCCTCACACTTCGCTCTGCAAAAGTACTCTTTAATTTACACATCTCAACTCTGTAGTGGACTGGTTTTGAAAATTTCCAGGTAATGGCTTACTTGAAAGTCCTTTTTTTTTTTTCATTGTTTAGAATCTTCTTTCTTTTTTTAATTCACTGGAAAGGATTTATGTTATTCTGTAACAATACCTCACACAATGGTGGTGTATTGTTTTGTATACACCACTGTTTTGAACCCAGATATTCTTATGTATTGACAAGGATTGTGTCCTTCACAGGGATACCTGTGAAATAGTCTTTTCTTCTGAGCCTCAAACACACGCTTCCAAAAAGCAATTATGGTACGTGCTGAGAAACTTCT